TAGTAGTAAGGCCAGGAGCCCCTAGTAGCTTCTTGTTCCTAGTAGTAAGGCCAGGAGCCCCTAGTAGCTTCTTGTTCCTAGTAGTAAGGCCAGGAGCCCCTAGTAGCTTCTTGTTCCTAGTAGTAAGGCCAGGAGCCCCTAGTAGCTTCTTGTTCCTAGTAGTAAGGCCAGGAGGCCCTAGTAGCTTCTTGTTCCTAGTAGTAAGGCCAGGAGCCCCAAATAACGAGGCCGTTGCTGTTCTCCTATGAATTCTCCAATCTTTCTTCGCCTCCCCCAGTTGCGCCAGCGCTTGCTTCACCGCCACCTTGGCGGTCGGCACGTCCTGGAGTCCCGTATTCACACACTCCGTTTGTCGGCTTGCCTGAAGCCTTGAACTGAAACGACTTTAATTGAGAAGTAAAACATGTTTTCAGTTTTGGTGTGTTCTTCCTTTGTTTTCTGTTCTTACATATATAGTTTGTTTTCCTTGTCTCTTTTGGCTGAAACGACTGTCTTGAGACCTGACCTTTCTTTGAGGCCTAAGGTCTGGGACGTGATATCTCCTCTTTTTGACATGGAACACGCACGCAAAGCTTCCAGGCAAAGGATGTAACTTAAAATACATGTTCTATCTCTTTTTGCTGTTTTCATCCACACCCACACCACACCGTTTTTTGCACCAGTTTCAGAGTGACGAGTCCTCCAGTTCAGTTCGCAAAGAGGTAGGGAAAGTGTTGGTAACAAACATCCCTCGGTGCCCAATGTGTCACCGAGCCGCCCCCCAACGACCCACCCAAATTTCTCCTGAATCTCCGGGAGCACATCCCAAACATCTTCTTTCAGCTCAGCTTGGTCCAAATGGTTATAAGCCACCTCGAATGGCGGGATCATCATCTTGAAAACATCTGAAGTCTGGATGATGCTAGGTAGCTGCTCCCTAAACCACAACGATTTCTTGGCCACTTCCTTGTGCCCATCTCCGCTCACGCGATCTCCACGTTTTTGCGAGACCCCAAAGTCCGAAAAGTGGACCGAGATCGATTCGTGCAGTCCGAACATCACATAACACACTGAAGAGCAAGTTGAAGTCTAAACACCTTCAAAGTCCGAAGATCCAGACTTCAACGGGACAACAGAAAGAGTTCTTCAACGGGAAACGGTCGCTTCTGACTTGCCGAGCTGAGAGAACCTCCGCATGCTGTCCCATCACCTGGCCTGAAACTCATCGCCGGGATTGATGCCCTCCGAGCGCTTGCAAAGAAACAGGGGCCTGCAGGCAGGGAGAAGAATGGAGAAGAGATGGGAAGAGGCATAGCGACATAGGTTATGAACCCCATACCCTAGGATTCAAATAACCAGTGTTTTAATGGTCTTTACCAAAGAACCATTGTTTTACTAAGGATTTTTACACTACACCACCAGCTCAACCGTTCTTTTAATGGTCTTTGAAGGCTAGGGCATACACACATTCAGGAACGTCGAAGACCGTGGAGAGGGTAGGTCATTTGGGAAAATCGGGGAGCCCAATGTGTAGCTTGTTGGGGAGATCGATCGCTATGTGTTCCTCCTTTTTCATTCTTTTTCACATTGAGGAAAGAATCCCAAGACTGGTCTCCAAAACGTGACATGCTGTGACGACCCAAATACCAAATATCCAGCGTTTTCTTTCTCCGTGGTTTGCTTCGCCTGTTGTTGAAGAGCTCTTCGAAGATTAGCACTGGATGTCCCGCTTGCCGTAGTCTCAGCAGTCGCAGCAAGGCTTGGCAACAGGCCTGGCATCCACGAAATGCCCGTCCGGAGCGCTCAATGGACGCAGTGGATGCCATGAGCGTTATGTGTTTCCCCCCCAAACAGGTCATGCTGAAGGGACTTGTAGAAAAGGACTTGCTCCAAGACATGCTGTTCTGCACTGCTCAGAGACAAGTATGAATCAATGACAAGTCGCTTAATTTTCTTCGGCATTTCGGCATTTCTCTTCCGAAAGATCCCCCTTCGAATTCGCCTGCGAACCCGGGCGGTTTCATTTTTTTGGAAACCAGGGTTCAGGGTAAACAGGGCTAACAGGGGTAACAAAAAAGTTAAAAACACTTGAACAAGAGCGCCTAAACACTGACCTTCAAAAATACTAAAACTCTAAAGAAACAGTGCACCCGGGTTCGAGTCGAATTTCCAATTTTTGATGCGTCTTGCCCAAGTCTTTTGAAAGATGTTGATCCAATGCAAAGATCTTAGCCACGCTCCGATGACAGTCTTGGTGACTCATCTCTAAAGAATCAGGGTCCACCGACCCACTTATAAAGAATGCCAACCCCCAGGTTCGTTCCTGTTCTTCGGTCCACTGATTTCATTCTTTAAGACAACCCGG